CTGGCTACCACCAATGACCACCCTGACAGGGAACACAACAGAGAGTCCCTGATGGAGCAGGAAAAAGGTGGGGTGCAGAACTCAAATTCTAGTAAGAAGATCAGACTTAATGGTCTGACTGAGACCTGGAGGAACCTCGGAAAGCATGGCCCCTGGATTCTCTACCAGCCCAGAACTAAAACAATTTCCGAGGCTAACTCTTCAGACAGGGATTGGACTAGACTATGGGACATAAAGTGATACTCATGAGTGTGCCTCTTAGCGCAAGTAGATACAAGAGACTAAATGGGGCAGCTTCCGTCCAGAGGTGATGTGAAGGCAGAGAGGGATAGGAGCTGGTTGAATGGACATGGGGAATTAGGGGTGGAAAGAAGGAGTATGTTGTCACAGTATGGGGAGAGCAATTAGAGTTTCATAACAATGTATGTATAAATTTTTGTATGGGAAAGAAATTTTTTAAAACAGTGTTCCCTTACATGTGCACAAGTGGATGCATGCACACACACGTGCACATACACATGCATGTGTGCACACACACAGAGCCAAGGTATCAAGTGTTCCCTTACACACACACAAGTGGGTACATGCACACACACCCACACCCACACGCACACACATAGAGCCAAGGTATCAAGTGTTCCCTTACATGAACACAAATGGGTACACGCACATGCACACACACGCACATATGTGCACGTGCGCACCCCGTCCAAAGTATCAAAAGTGTTCCCTTACATGCACACAAATGGGTGTGCACACACACTCATGCACACGTGTGTATGCTTGCACGCACACGTGTGTATGCTTGCACACACACAGTCCAAGGTATCAAGTATTCCCTTACATGCACACAAGTGGGTACACACACATGCACACACACACACATGTGCATGTCCACACACACAGTCAAGGTGTCAGAAGTGTTCCCTTACACACACACAAGTGGGTGCAACACACACACACCCATGTGCACATGCACACCCAGTCCAAGGTATCAAAAGTGTTCCCTTACATGCACACAAACGGGTGTGCACATACACTCATGCATACACATGTATGTTCACACACACACAGCCCAATGTATCAAGTGTTCCCTTACACATGCACAAGTGGGTGCATGTACACACACAGCTACTTCACTCTGAAGGGTGACAAGTGTCCTAGGTTTGACCCTGCAGGTAAGAGTGGTGCCCCTCCACAGACTGGGCCATCACAGAGATAATCTGCTCAGCTGAAGGCCAGCCTGCAGGGATGGTCTGCTCCTGCTGCCAGGGCTCCTTCCTGAGGGGTAACTGAGGAACAAAGCCAACCCACGTGGGCCACGTGGACTCTCCCAAGTGCAGCTGCATTTGTCAGGTAGAAGGTACCCAGATTTGGGCAGCCAGGCACAAGTCATCTGGCGTTCACCTTACGAAGAGAACTCCCCTCAGAGAGGCCCTGGCCCTGGTCACCCTGCTGGGTACAGGCTCCCTGCTGCTGCCCCGCTGCCCTTGTCTCAGTTCTACCCCTTCTGTGCCCTCTGCAAAGCCAGGTAGTATAAGTCTCTTTTGGTCAATCGGGAAAGCAGGCCCAGTATCTGGACCTTCCGGTTTTTTGCTGCAGACTCCTACTCTTGGTTCTCCTAAGACTCCTCACCCTAGGTTTTGGAGAAGGCAGTGTCATTCCTGGGAGTGTGGGGCTTAAAGCACATCACCTCCTGCTCACCATCTCGCTCTCCAGACCCCCAGTGTGGTGCTCCCAGGAGCTACCAAGCCCCATCGGCCCAGCGGGGCCATACTTCCATAGAGGAAGGAGAGGGATCAGAATCGGGCTAGGCTGGGAGGGAGGAGAGTATCAAAGGTCATCAGTCTGGTGTTCCTGCTTGTCTTGTCTCAGGGACCTTGACTCTAAGGCACTCTGACTCCTCGGTCCCCTCAAACCATCATCACAGTCCTCTGCTTAGTTACCTACCTGAGCTCGGCCTTCTTCCCAGCACTCTTCTCTCAGAAAATGGGCAATTTTTGTTCACCCAGAATCTAACGTTCCCTCTCCAGGACTTTTCCCACGTCTTGCTGACCCAGAAGTAAGCATTTATAAACACACAGACAAGCCTTAGAATTAACAACAAGAGGTGAACACCAAAAA